ACATGCTATATATATTTCCACTTTTCACCTGGATTTTTAGTTCTAATTGAATTCACATCCAACGCACAATGTGTTGTGGGCAATATCAGCAGTTAGAGAACAGACCGTACTACACTTAAATTTTTTACTGGAAATAACAAACCATCCGGGAATCTCAGACATACCCTTTGCAAGGCAAGGCAAGTTTATTTATATAGCACATTTCATACACAGTGGCAATTCAAACTGCTTTACATAAACAAGAATAAAAGAGACGGGTATAAAAAATAAACACAAATAATAAAAATAAAAATTCTAAAAATAAGAATAAAAAATAGATAAAACATAAAAATGTGTTTAAAATATGTTATAAGATAATGAAAAAGAAAAGAAAAACATAATAGTGCGATCTGTCGGACGCAGCACAGTGCTCATTCAGTAAAGGCACAGCTAAGCAGATGTGTTTTCAGTCTTGATTTGAATGTTGGAGCACATCTAAACATTTCTGGAAGCTGATTCCAGCAGCGAGATGCATAGTAGCTGAAAGCAGATTCACCCTGCTTTGACTGAACTCTTGGAACTTCTAGTTTATGGGATCCTAAAGATCTAAGTGATCTGTTAGGTTTGTATTCAGTGAGCATATCTGTAATGTATTGAGGTCCTAGGCCATTTAGTGATTTATAGACCAGTAATAATACTTTAAAGTCTATTCTGAATGTAACCGGGAGCCAGTGTAGAGACCTGAGGACAGGTGTGATGTGCTCTGATTTCCTGGTTCTAGTCAGAATCCTGGCCGCAGCGTTCTGGATGAGCTGCAACTGTCTGACTGTCTTTTTGGGAAGGCCCGTGAGGAGGCCGTTACAGTAATCCACCCTGCTGCTGATAAAAGCATGAGCAAGTTTCTCTAAGTCTTCACTGGAAACAAAGCATCTGATTCTTTCAATGTTTCTGACATGATAGTATGCTGATTTAATTACTGCTTTAACATGACTATTGAAACTCAGATCTGACTCCAGAGTCACTCCAAGATTCTTGACCTTATTTTTTGCAACATACTACAATTTGTGACATACTTGTGATATTTTTTTAAATATTATTTAGGATGGATAGTATGCAAATTGGAACGCAGCACTAAACAGGAAGTGCATTTTCAGATTTGATTTAAAGATCGCAAGGGTAAACTTTTTTTTTATGACATGCACAGATGAATTGATCACCACAACTTAGCAATGTGAGCTAACACAATCAATAGGGTTAGTTTTGATTTCATGTGTACTTGAATCACAGTCTGTATAGGTGAAATTGAACTTGCTTTCAAGAGCAGCATTTGTCTTCACATCAATTACACAACATTCAAACAAACATCAGAAGATTGCCTCTTTGTTGTTTTGTTTTGTTTTGTTTTGTTTTTGAACATTAAAATTGATCATGCCATGATCCGTTTTGAATCACATGCAATGGTGCAATGGCATTTCTTCACCAATTCACTGAGGGAAAACATGAAGCACAGACTGATGATGAGGACGCAGAAAGATGGCCAGAGGAGACAAACACAAGCGAAGAATAACACACGCAAAATAAAATAAAATTGATGGAGAGATTTACGAGGCGTGTCGGCCGAACCTCCGGGGAAAGACGGAGCAGAATGAAGCCGCAGCAGAGCGTCTCTCTGGCGGTGTGGAAATGAGAAGTTTGACCTCGAATCACTGCCTCATCATGGAGGATATGAGGAGCGCCCGAGCTCTCTGACACCCGCGCCCAGCAGCAGTGTGTCCTCCCGCGGGTGCAGATGCTCCAGATGTGGGTGTTTGAGTGATTCTGGATGCTTCTCTGTTCTCCTAGGTGTAAATTGAGCGGGATGGAGTTCACGGTTGAAGAGTTTTACACACGCGCTTCATTCAGACAGAGGCTGTTAGAGTTAATGTGGAGGGTTATTCTGTGTGAAGTCTAAACATGTTTTGTTTGGAAGTGGAAATTGAGGATTCCATCATCATTTTTGTTCACTCTGAGATATATTTTGTGTGTGTGTGTATGTATATATATATATATATATATATATATATATATATATATATATATATATATTAGGGATGTGCGGAGCAGCCGGTATTTGTATTTGTATTTGTATTTGTTGAGAGGGGAAAAGTATTTGTATTTGTATTCGAGTAAAATTCAAAATGGCGCAAAAATATATATTTTTTCTATTACACTTCTAATTTACGTTATAGTGAAAGTATTGTTTAATTATACCCATTATATAAATTATAGATATGCAATATTGGCTGTTGTTTTTGAACATGTGATAAGAAATGTAATTGAAAAGAAAATAACATAGAAGCCATTTTCTCATCCATGGTTAAACCAACAACTAATAAAATACCATTGTGAATATTATGAACCCCACCACCACTGTTCTTGTTGAAGGACACTGAATAGACAGAATAAAAACAAATAATACTTCAAAAAACTGTTCTTCTTCTGAAAGAACTTTTTTCCAATTGACAGAATTCCAAAAACTAAAATTAACTAAATAAATCTAAATAAAACCCTGCCCGGGAGATCTGGCAGAACAAAAGTATTCGATATAATACTAAAAGATACAGCCCCGCTATTATCATCTGCCAGCCACAAAAAAGACACAAAGTTTGTTTGTTTGTTTATTTAGAGATATCTGCAAATATTTTTCAATGGAAGTCAATGGAGGAATATGACTAGTCAGTCATAATATATTTGCAGATATTTCCAATCTGAATTATAATTATGACAAGTCAAAATATAATTAGAGATATCTCTAAATATATTTATGGATAGTCTGAACAAGGTTTAAATGCTAAAACGGCTTGCCATACGCACAGTGGCACAGTGGAGAGTTCTCTAGTTATATCGTTTCAGTCGTTTGTTATGCAGTGACATGCAGTCAAATATTTCGCCTAACAGTCCTTAGGAATACGGTGACACGCAGTCAGATATTTTACCGGACAGATCCGCCACTTTTGGCGCGCATAAACAATCATAAAGCCCTCGTGCTGCAGGAATGAGGAGGTCTGCTGAAGGCGCGCAGCTGACGTGCAGTGAGAGGTTTGCGTCTTTAATAAACTACGGCAGTTTGCGATCACTGAACAGTAAGAATGATTAATAAATCCATATGAAACAGCCCCTTAAAAGTCACGTCTCGCTTTCAGTTTCGGGCTTTGGCGCGTTTTGCACTGAGCATGTGTCTTTCTCTCTCTCTCTCTCTTTCTCTCTCTCTCTCTCTCTCTCTCTCTCTCTTACTCACTCACTCACTCACGCGGGCATGCACTGTGGTCTCATGAGGAAACGCTGCTTTTTGATATAGTGTTTTTCTTGCTCCCGAATACAAATAATTTTTCAAGTATTTGTTTGAATCAAGTATTCGTAAAAACACGCTATTCGTGCCTTTCCGAATACCGTATTCGGGTTCGGCTCCACCCTTAATATATATATATATATATATATATATATATATATATATATATATATATACATATGAGCAATATATTACAAGTAGCAGAGTAATGTGGCTTAAAGATTTTTGAATAAATAATTTTTATTGTTTTTAAAAATTATTTTAATGATAATTATATTTTAATTACTTACAAGTGAGGGAAGGATGGAACGTGAGATTGACAGGCGGATTGGTGCAGCGGCAGCAGTAACGCGATCAATGTACCGGTCCGTTGTGGTAAAGAAGGAGCTGAGTCGAAAGGCAAAATATATATATATTAGGGATGTAACGGTATTGTAAATACCGTCATACCGCAATATTAATTTTTTCCGATATTACCGTAGTCGCATGACTCGGTAAAACTATAGGTCTTCTGAGAAAATTTGCTCAGGCGAATGAAGCGAACGGGAGGTACCGGAAACTACAATTCCCATCAGCCCAGGCTTGGCCATCATCCCTTGCGGTCTGTTGTCGCTACAGATCCAGTAATGCGGAAATGGAGTGTGCTGCTAGAAGCGGGGATCAAAAAGAGCTGGAAATGATCGAACCTAAAGCGGGTGTTGTCATCGCACGCGTACTGAATAGCGGCGTTGTTGCGCGCGTTCTGATCAGCTGTGTTGTCGTGCGCGTACTGTAAAGCGGGGAGGTGGGGTTGTGTGCGCATACTCAAGAGCGGTGTTGTCGCGCGCCTACTGAAGGGCGGGACGGAGGGTGTGTCGCGTCGCGGAGCACTTTTGATCATTTTGGAAGGGCACTTTCTATCCAAGACTAAAAAGGGCATGTGCACTTCACAGGTTGAGCCCTATGTGTGCACGTGTCTGCAAGTTGGGGAATACGACTAATAATCAGTCATGGGGACTGCAGAAACACAGCACACTGTTCAGATTGATGCAGACATGAGACCTCTATCTCACTCATGGTTTGTCCTCTCAAGTGGGGGAAAGACAATGCACAACGTTACCCACTGCTGTCAACCTGGGCCAAGTCATATCTCTCTTGTCCCAGAAACCTCAGTCCCAAATGAGAGGGTTTTTTTTCTGTTGCAGGGGACATTGTAAATGCCCAGAGATACCTGCTTTTACCAGATTATATTTATATGATAATTTTCCTTAAAGCCCATCTCTATCTAAGTGAGTGAGTGATTAAATGTTGAATGTGATGAGTTTTCAACAATACTAATTTGAAACTTAATTATTTTTACATGGTTTAATAATTTTTTGTTATTAAAATTGAAGTTCCTGTTTCAAAGCTTACAGATAGATGACTAATTTGTATGTCATTGACACTTTTGGCACTTTTTTGGAGTATTTTCATAAGTTTTGTTTTTTCCTGTAAATGATTCAATAAATACCGTACCGTGACATTCATACCGAGGTATTACCGTACCGTGAAATTCTGATACCGTTACATCCCTAATATATATATATATATATATATATATATATATATATATATATATATATATATATATATATATATATATATATACTAGTGCTTGGCAAAAAGAAGTGTGTGTGTTCAGAGCGGTTTTCTCACTGTGTGTTTTTGTGTGCAGATGTGTCTGGTGAGAGCAGTCAGAGCGGTGGTCAGTTCCAGGGTCGTCCGTCTGAGGTCTGGTCTCAGTGGCAGAGTCAACATCACAGTCAGCAGGCTGGAGACCCTCATCCACACACACAGGCCAGCCAGACAGAGGTCTTCCAGGTAAACACACTCACACACCTCCATCCACACACACACACAGGCCAGCCAGACAGAGGTCTTCCAGGTGAACACACACACACAGCTTCACAGTCCAGCCAGACGGAGGTGTCTCATGGCAACACACACACAGCTTCAAAGTCCAGCCAGACGGAGGTCTTCCACTCACTCACTCAAACAGATATGCGCACAGGCACAAACTGACACACAGTCAGATACAAAGGCACTCGCACAAACTTACGCACAGACATGCATACATGCTAATAAACACACCTACACACACATCTAACAAAACCAATAGGGTTTGATCATGCATACTTTAAACAGCATCTCTTCATCCCAATCACTGCAAAAACACAGGTGTTAGTAAAGCATTTGATTGACCTACTTTTGAGCCGCCGTGCTATTAACCTGCTCTCTCTCTCTCTCTCTGTGTTGGTCGTTCAGCCATATCTCTCTTGTGACAGTTCTCTTAATAGTAGGGGTTATACAGACTTGTCAGCTAGTTACATTCTTAGTAGTACTAGCAATGATCAGTGTGTTGCTTGCATTTACTGTGCACTAAATTTAGCCCATGCTAATGTTGCATTATTAATTAAATGAAAGTGTTGACCGTGCATTTGTTTTCCACTAAAATAAGTTATTGGTAGGTCAGACTGAATCTGTGGGCCTTTTTAACTATTTCTGCACGGAATTTTGTACACGGTGTCAGTGGGGTCTTAAAAAGTCTTAAAATGTCTCACATTTCAAAATTTAGGCCCTAAAAAGTCTTAAATTGACTGAAATATTGTGTTGTATGACTTAAATCATTTTAAACAGCTCTTCACTTTCCAATGTCCATGTAAAACTAGCCAATCAAGCCAACACCTGGTTGGGTAGTTTCATTTCAAGTTTCATTACAATACTTAATTTAGTAATTAAAAAAAAAATCATTAACAAATTATGAAAGTACAATTATTAGGCACATTATAAATGTAGTTTTAAGTCAAGAATAGAGGATTTGTAGCTGCAGTTATAGACTGCTTACTAACGTTTAATAATGTAGAGTTAATGCTTAACAGATAATGAATTTACTATTTGCTACTGCTTAACAAATGGTTCATAGTGTGTAGTTATTATAAAGTGTTACCAAGTGTAATTATTAACTCTTATTTATTAACTCTGTTCACCTACTCATATTTATAAACATATGATTTAATTATCTTCCTTGCAAATTCTATTTTTATTTATTTATTTTTTTTATTTTTGTTTAACTGGACCATTAGAAACAATCCTTAGCGTTTAGTCTTGTTTAAGTCTAAAATTTCGTTCAGAACGGTCTTAAAAAGCTCTTCAAAAGTCTTAAATTTGACTCGATGACCTGTAGAAACTCTGTTTGTTTAGATTTTTGCTGAATGATTTGGGGAGTATCATAACAAAAAAGTAAATATATGAAATAAAGAAAAATACCTTTAATACCTTTTATTTAATCTTTACAATCCAACTAGATCCACTTATTTTGATCCACTTAAACAAAGCAAGTCTCTCAAATATCTACTAAAAGATAGACTTTAAAAACTGTATTGTAAATAAATCATATGTACATTTTCAAATGTGTTAATAATATTACTGAAATTAATTTAAAAACTGAATAAATCTAAGTTTACACACATTTACATGAGGAAGTAAACAGACTCATTGATGGGTTAAAAATCTGCAGAAATCTGTGGATTTCTGTGTGCGCAGATTCCTTTTGGGCCTTGTCATGTGTTTTCAAACTGCATGTGTCTATATTTTTCCTGCAAATAAATAGCAAATTTTGGCTCATTGCTAAACATTTGCGTCTTGTGTTTTATTGATGACCAGTCATTGTTGACTTTAATAACGTAAAAGTCGATTTTAAAACATCTATAGTCATTCAACCTTTGCTTTACAGTAAATTGAAAACAAAAATACTGAGGCCAAGTCTGTTTAATATAACTTCTTGCTGTGTTTGGGTGCGCATGCATACTTTAAACGCCATCTCTCCATCCCAATCACTGCAGAAACACGGGTGTTAGTAAAGCATTTGAGTGACCTAAGTTCCAGCTCTCGTTGGTCTCCTTTTGTACGCGCTCAAAAAACTACATTTGCTGTTTGTTCAAACTTCTTACATAAATAAGCTGAAACAACGCAATACTTAAGATATATATATATTTTTTTTTTGGGGGGGGGGGGGGGGGGGGGTGACGTGATGGATTTAACTTAATCCTTCATTTTGTCCCAAAACAAATGGATTGTGTGGAACCCAGCAATTTTGGGTTGTTCGTACTCCCCTTGTGACAGTTTTCTTTACAGTAGATTGAAAGTAAAGCACTACATTGAAAGTCCTAAAGGACACAATAAGGCCATACTCACACTAGGTACAGTTGCCTCGAACCGGGCCAAAGCATGTTTGTCCCGCCTCCTGTCTCCCCCGACGGCCCGCGCTCACACCACAAACGGGCCTCGGCACTACATTTCCCTAGTTATATCATTTCAGTCGTTTGTTATGCAGTGACATGCAGTCAAATATTTCGCCAAACAGTCCTTAGGGATGCGGGGACACGCAGTCAGATATTTCGCAGAACAGATCCGCCACTTTTGTCGCTCAAAAACAATCATAAAGCTCTCGTGCTGCAGGAATGAGGAGGTCTGCTGAAGGCGCGCAGCTGTCGTGCTGTGAGGAGTTCTCGTCTTTAATAAACTACGGCAGTTTGCGTTCACTGAACAGTAAGAATGATTAATAAATCCATATCAAACAACCCCTTAAAAGTCACGTCTCGCTTTCAGTTTCGGGCTTTGGTGCGTTTTGCACTCACACACAAGCGTACCGTGCCAAAGCCCAAGTGAACCGCGCTCAGGCACACCTCTTACAACCGGGCCAGGGCCGGCCAAGTGAACCATGCTTGAGCCCGATTCAGCACACTCACACTTCTCAAACGATCCGGGGAACGGGCCTGGGCCCGGTACGGATGGCATAGTGTGAGTAGGCCCTAAGAGGCAGTCTGATGTATCGTCTCTCTGTGTTTGTGTTCACAGGACATGCTGCCGATGCCGGGTGACCCAACACAGGGAACAACCAACTACAACATTGAAGACTTTGCTGACCTCGGCATGTTCCCACCATTCTCTGAGTAACTGGACACGCATCTGTTTGTTTGTTTGTTTGGGTTCAGACTGCAGTACCTTCATCTCACACCTGACGCACATGACGCTGCTGAAACACATCTCTGCATACACACACAAAGCAAATCAATATATATTCCCAGTCTTAATGCTCTTCTTCAATGTTTAATCATCATCAGGCAGTGACTAAACACTGTAAAAAAGTTGACTTGCCTAAATCCAGTGCAGGACTTGGGTTACAAGTTGGGTCAACTCAAAAAGCTGTGCAGCAAATTGCCTAACAATTTTAATTTAAGTCAACGTTCTTTGTTACAGTGAAGGGATGGTTCATTCCTAGGGTTGTCACCATACTGGAATTCGGTGCCAATCGATACTATATTAAAAACTTACTTACTTACTTACTTACTCAAACAGCGCTGATTTGCTATTGTGTTTACTTGCTCAACAGAAATGACTGTGATTGGCCGTGAAGGTCATCAGTTCACCGAACTTACCGCTGCTTACTGAGTGCTACCACAAATACAGGGACACTGGAGCGTTTTAAACCCGCGGATTGCTTGTATATCAGCTTATAGACAAACCTGCTGGTCATTACATCTTTAAAACGCTCCAGTGTCCCTGTATCTGTGTTTACATTCAGTAAACAGTGGTGAGTTCGGTGAACTGATGACCTTTACGGCCAATCACAGTCATTTCTGTTGAGCATGTGAACACAACAGAAAGTCAGCGCTGTTTAGGAACGCAATCAAATGTTAGCAGGAAATTAACGTTTTTTTTTAAATTTCATGACCGCTTTGTTCTGGGGTTCTTTGACTTCCATAGTATTTTTTTTTCCTATGGTGGAAGTCAGCCTTTTTTGTTACACTGAAGAGGTGGTTCACTCCTAGGGTTGTCACGATACTGGAATTTTAAAAACGTCAAGTTGACAGAATTTTTAAAATTATGCTAATTGTACTCACTTTTTTTAATTAACGTAAACAATTTTCCATAACTCCTTCCATATATTTGTTTTTAAGCTTTTCTGTATTTAGCAAAATGACATACAGTAAATTTCTGTTGAGCACATGAACACAATAGCGAATCAGCAATGTTTAAGAATGCGTTCAACAGTGCTCAAATGTCAGCGGGAAATGGACGTTTTTGAAATTTCGGGACCGACTTGTCCTGGGATCCATTGACTTCCATAGTATACTTTTTCCTACCGTGGAAGTAAATGGATCTCAGCTATGAGCATTCTGAGTCAACTTTCTTTGTTAAGGTGAAAGGAAAGTTCACCCCTAGGGTTGTCACCATATTGAAATTTGATACCAATCGATACTGGAATTTTAAAAACGTCAAGTTGACTGAATTTTTATAATTCTGCTAATTCTACTCCCTTTTTTTAAAAATAAAAGTAAACAATTTTCCATAACACCTTTATTATATTTGTTTTCGAGCTTTTCTGTATCTAGCAAAATGGCATACAGTAAAATAAATCTGCTTTTCCAGACTCCAGTGTGTCTTCTAAATTCAATACAGGCCATAAGTTTAGATTTTATAGACTTAATGATGCACCAAATATGAAATATTGTGATAATTACAGTAATTATTTGAATACAGACGTGCTGAAATAGTCTGACACTGTAAAAAGGGATTAGTTGACTTTTAAAAAGTGAGTACAATTAGCATAATTCTAAAAATGAAGTCAGCTTAACAGTTTCAAGTTACAGTGCGTTTACTTACATTTTAATGACTGTGACGCGAGCATTTTAAAGGCATGTCTATCAGTTTGTTTGTCAATAAGCTGACATAGGAGCAATCCACTGATGAATCACAGCTTTAAAACACTCCAGTGTCGCTGTATCTGTGGTTATACTCTGTAAACAGCAGTGAGTTTGGTGAACTGATGACCTTCACAACCAATCACAGTCATTTCTGTTGAGCACATGAACACAATTGTGAATCAGTGCTGTTTAAGAACACAATCAACAGCGCTCAAATGTAAGCGGGAAATGGATGTTTTTAAAATTTTAAAACAGGTAGGGGGATTCATTGACTTCCATAGTATTTTGTTTCCTACTGTGGAATTCAATGGATCCCAGCAATGAGCATTCTTCTGAGTCAACTTTTTTGTTACGGTAAAGGGATGGTTCACCGCTAGGGTGGTCACCATACTAAAATTTTAAAACCTCCATTTCCTGCTAATATTTGAGCTCTGTTGAGCACAGCGCTGATTTGCCATTGTGTTCAAGTGCTTCAACAGAAATGATAATGATTGGCTGTGATACAGGGACACTGGAGCCTTTCAAAGTCACGTCGATCAGCTGGTTTGTCTATAAGCTGAAATACGAGCTTTAAAACGTGGCTTTAAAATGCTCCAGTGTCCCTGTGTCTGTGTTTACGCTCAGTAAACAGTGATGAGTTCGGTGAACTGATGACCTTCATGACCAATCACAGTCATTTCTGTTGAGCATGTGAACACAATGGCGAGTCAGCTGTGTTTAAGAACGTGCTCATATGTTAGTGGGAAATGGACGTTTTTAACATTACAGTACCAATTGGTACCGAATTCTAGTATAGTGACAACCCTATTCACCCCAAAATGAAACTGACATCATTTACTCACCCAAAACTTATTTGAGTTTCTTCTCTGGAGCACAAAATATAAGATATTTTGAGGAATGCTCGTTGCTGGCACCAATTGACTTCCATAGTCATTGTTTTTTTTTCATACTATGGAAGTCAATAGCTGCAAGCAGCCAGCATTCTTCAAAGTTTCTTCTTTTTAAGGTTTAAAACCACATCAAGGGGAGTAAATCATTCATTTTTGGGTGAACTATCCCTTTTATTGCTATTGCTTTGAGTAGAAAATCATGAAACGATCGTCTTTTAAATGACTTTGTATTTATAGGCCATTTCTATGAGCAAATATTAAAACTGCCACTCATCAGAATAATTTACATTGAAAGCAGGCTGATTTAGCATCTAATTTAGGTGAAATGTGAACACGATGCAATATTTTGTTGTGTCAAATTACCATTTGAGGATCGACCAAATAATTTTTCACACACAAATATATATATATATATATATATATATATATATATAATGAAGAGATTTCTGATGAACTGGTGACCATCACATCATCAGGGCACTTGCATAGTCATTGTTTTTTTTTCATACTATGGAAGTCAATAACTGCAAGCAACCAGCATTCTTCAAAGTATCTTCTTTTTAAGGTTTAAAACCACATTAGGAGAGTAAATCATTCATTTTTGGGTAAACTATCCCTTTTATTACTATTGCTTTGAGTAGAAAAACATATAAAACAATCGTCTTTTAAATAATTTTGCATTTATAGGACATTTCTATGAGCAAATAATAAAGCTGCCACTCATCAGGCTAATTTACATTGAAAGCAGGCTGATTTAGCACCTAATTTAGGTGAAATGTGAACACGATGCAATATTTTGTTGCGTCAAATTACCATTCGAGTATTCACCAAATCAATTTTCCCACACACACACACAAATAAATATATAATGAAGAGATTTCCTTTTGGACTTTTTATGGTACAGAAGTATTTTCGGAATCTTTCATGATATGAAGGATTGTTTTCTTCAAGTGTTGCACCTCGTTTTTATCATTGCCAAACAGCATCTTGCTGACCTAAAAAAACAAAACAAAAAAAAAACAAACAAAAAAACAATCGCTGAGATATTTTTACGCTTACCATGTAAAATGTAGTCTATGTAGTGATGTCTATAACCTAGCTTAATCAATGATAAATGTAGACGGATGTAAAGACAAAAACAGTATTTGATTTACATTGATGCAAAAAACAAAACAAACAAAAAAAAACACTAGCAACAATGTCACTTTGTTAAAAAATCTACATCAGAAGATGCAGCGGAAATCTCAAGCCTTTTTCTGCTGGCTGTTGCGATTCTTACCATTACCTTTTCGGATTAACGGATCCCGCCACAGAAATGGACTGATGGAAAGACCTGGACACGAAATCGACTGCTTTTTTTGGAAATGGAATGAATGTTTTCATGTAAATAATGTGATTTTTAATGTTTGTCAGACCATGTTTTATTTCACATACAGCTCTATATATATATCTACACACACACACACACACACACACACACCTGTGTAGGTTTAATATCATTGTGTGCAATGTTGAGTACATATTTAACTCTCCATACTTAGTTAGCCTGTCCATTGTACAATGACTTTAGGAGTGTATAAAAATCGTGTAAATGTGTTTCTGTTACTTTTGTGTAACTTTATGACAAGGAGTTGTGCTCGTGACAATAAATTCTCATTGACTATGTGGATTTCATTCAAACAGATTATGCTGTGTTCTTCACGTTGGCAGATTGTTAATGTTCTTAGTTTTATATCTGAGTCTCGTATAGTAGTTTTACTTTCATACAACACTTTAATTTTGCTGATGATAGTGATTTTAGCTTCAGCTCTTTTGCCTCAGTATCTGAAACAATGGGGTAAATGCTGAAGTATGCTAATATGGCTTTTAATTTGCCAGTAACCTGGGTTAAGCGCTTCCGGTGAACTGAACGCCATTGCAAAATCGGTGCGTTGGTCTGTTTTCTCTAAAAATCAGCGATCTCCACTGGCTGAGTGATATCCGATATAAAGTGAGTCTCAGATTGTACAAGAAGCCCCGCATTAAATTACATTTCCCCCCGCCATGTCTTTATAATATCAGCATTTATTTTACCTCAGTATATTCAATGGAGCTTCTGCGCTAGCCTGCCAATTCTGATGGGCGCATGCCAGTAAACGATATTTTGTCTCGTTTTACGCTTGAGCAACTAAATGAATACCAAAGTTTATTTAACTGATTGTATTTTAATGACTTTACAACATCGATGCTGTAAAAGGAACCATAAAAATTGGGAAAAAAAACTCACAATGACAGATCACCAGAAGTTTATCAGTATGGGAACAACATTAGCTCAGCATACACCCTATTCATGGACAAAGTCTCTCTAAACTCCGCCTTTCTGAGAACCTGCCCTGCTCTGATTGGTCAAATGATTGGGCCAATCTGCACTCTCAACAAAAAAGGTACAAAAGCTGTCACTTTAGGTTAACAT